TGTATACCAGAAAATTCTTGGTAAACTCATTGAGTTTCTTGTGTAATCATGTGCAATACAGTTGGAATAAACCTACTAAAGCCTTACCTGTTTTTATGTTCAGACTACATGAGAGTTTCTTCACTCTTCTTCATCTATGCAGTTCATGTGTTCCCACTATGTTTTAAGGACAATGGAATATGCTTACATATGGAGATGTGTAAGAAAATTATTTTTAAGGAGCCCGTGAAAATGTACTCACTCCTCATTCTTTTCTTTCTGTTTTGGCACCTCCAAAATTATTAAGTGAAATATATTAATCTAATTAATAATTTATGCAGAAAAGAGTAAGTTAAATGTTACATTTTTCACTTTTAGAGAGCTAATCTGAACCTCACACACCCCAATTCCAGTATCTTTTTAAAATATCTACTCTTTTCTGCTGTCTCACTCCTCCGGGTCTCTCATCCCTTTCACTTTAGGGCAAGGGTTGGCAAACTTTTCTGTAAAAAACTAGTAGATATTTTAGGCCTTTGACTCATATAGTCTTTGTCACAACTATCCAATTCTGCCTTAGGTGAGGCAGCTATAGATAATACATAAATGACCGACCACAGGTATATTCCAATAAAACTATTTGTAGACACTGAAATTTGTATTAAATATCATTTTCATGTATTACAAATATCATTTTAAATTTTCAACTGTTTAAAAATGTAAAAAAATCTTTGAGAACTGTACAAAAAATTATACATAATATAATGACTCCTGATCTGCTGGCAAAGCTACCTCTTCAAGGGCTGAGTAACCTTCACTCAATCACTGTCCAAACACAAATTCCGTAAAGATGTTTCTGTTTATGAAGTTTTCCCATATGACACATTCAAATCTCTAGGGATCATCAATATGCCCATAATTTTCCATTGGTTGCCTCACTTTATTAGCCGGTCGATTGAAAAATATTTTAAGATTTTACAGGGACTTTTCTACTTTTCATCATAAAAAGTATGCATAAAATATATAAAATAGTGTATTGGGGCTAGATATATAAAATAATGTATGGGGGTTAGAACAGGAAAAGGAGTATGGGTTCTGTTCCCAGTCAGTTCTTTAATTGGATAAATAACCTGACTGCTTCACATCCCATTTTCTTTGTCTGTAAAGTCAGCATTGTCAGGTGTGATTACTAAACAGTTATATTAAATGTTAAAGGACATGGTAGGGAGTGGTGGGTGGGATTATGCTTGGATCTTCCAGAGTTGCCACATTTTCAGAAAAAAAGTATACTTTTTAGTGTCATCACATACAATTGAAAAGATGAATATTTCTGAAGAGGAATCAGGTGGGTGATTAGTTCTGAACATTTTGATGTAGAAAATATAAACCCAAGGGTGACATCAAGCAAACTACAGCACAAAATACATATGTAAAACCTCATGGTTTTCCTGTGTGCCTGCTATTAGCAGGAGAGGTTTGGTTTAGGGGTCTGTAAAAATGTTTTCTTCCTTTAAGTATAATGCTCAGAGCCAAGACATCATCAGTTCCAGGCTCAGTCAGTTCCAGTTGAAAGTGTGAATGTTCAGCAAAAGGATGTTTTTGAAAGGAGACTGAAAATCCACTGTGCCAGATACCTGAAACGTTGTTAGGGTATTCAGTGGAAAATTTCATTTCCACATTATAAATAACTGTAGGATATTTAAAGAGATCCAAGACTAGTAACTTCCAAGCGCTGCTTATATTAGTTCCACTGAAATGTGAAATAGAGGAAGAACACTGAGAAAAGCTATATAGCTCAGTTACTGGATACGATTAATTAAAATAAATAATCTCACTATTGATTAAATTGCCCTTAAAATCTCCAATCACTGAGGCCTGCATAGTTTGCTATCCACCAAATAAGACAAAGGATGAAATAGTGATGGAGAAAAAGGAGGAAAAGCCCCCAAGCTGACTTCTTAAATTCAATTCTAGAATTTTTTATTTGGAAATCCCCTCTGGTGTCTATATTTGAAATATTAATTGTTTCTTACTGTCTTCAAAGTTCCAGGAGTTCTCTGTTCTATGGACTTCCTGGGAGGAGGAGAATCCCAGAGAAGGTGGCATATCATATCACCCACCATGGCAGTTATGGAATTTTGATCTCAATTTTACCACAGAAATAATCAATTCCCATAACTGCTTCCTTCCTTTGCAGCCCCCACAGATTTAAAAACAAAAAGGGAATCGGAGATGTCTGTTAGACAGTGGCACAATATGCCCAAAGTAAAACTGGACCCCTAAAAAAAGCAAAAAAAAAAAAAAAAAGGCAGAAAAAAAAGCCATGAGTTTATGAGTGTGTGTATGTGTGTCTGTGTGTGGACGTGCAAGAGTATGTGTCTGAGTGCCTGCGGGTGGATGTGTAAGGTAGGACAGCAATAAATAGCAGTAAATACAGTTCTCTCTGTCTCTCTCTGTCTCTCTGTCTCTCTCTCTCTCTCTCTCTCTCTCTCTCTCTCTCTCTCTCTCTCTCTCTCTCTCTGTCTCTGTCTCTCGGTGAAAGCCTGGCTTCCCTTCGGCCGCCTGTCGGACTCTAGAGACCTGTGCACACAGGGAACGCGGCAGTGCCCGAGGTTAGAGCTCTCCCCTGTGACAGAAAAGATAATTAAAAATCGCACGCACAGGAGCCACCTCAGTTCCTGGCAGCGCTTCCAGTTGGTGGGATCTGGCTAAATAGGTTCTCGCACCCCGGCGGTGCCTGGGCTGCGAGGCCAGTCGGCCGGGCGCGAAGAGTAGGTTGGGGACCAGGTGCCACAGCGGGTGGCACAGAATCGCTTCTCGGAGTCACCGAGGGCGGCAGTGGCAGGCGGCCGTGGGGGCGGGAGGGGCGCGGCGCAGGGCTCGTGTCTGTGGAGGGATTTGGGGAAGAGGCTGGAACGTGGAGAGAAACGTGGGAAAGGGAAAGACCGACGAGGGAGGCGTGGAGCAGTGCGTGGAGGAAGGGCAGGTAAAAATAAAGCCCCATATAGGAAGGACAGAGTAGTATCCCCTGAACTCTATCCTAACCCCCGCGAGAGCGCACACCTGGCTACCCTGCACCCCGACTTCTGCTCCCGCGGTCTGGTTGCCCCTCAGTCCCCCGCGCATCTCTTCAGAGGGGCGATCCTGGTCACCGAGTCACGCATCTACAGCCCTCTAAGCTCATCTTGTATTCGAAAGGGCTCCAGGGTCCGCGACTGGCACCAGGCCCCTATCTTCCGTGCCCCTCATGCTCTCACAGCCCTTCCAGGCCCCTTCTAGGGCGCAGACCCAGGCGTGGGCTCAACGAGTGGGAGCGAAGCTTTAAAACTAGACAGGGAGGGTCGTGGCAGGTCGCTACGAGGGTGAGGGAGGCGTTTGCACTGAGCAATAAAAACACCAAGCAATGGGTATATGAATTGCTTTCAGTAAGATGGGAGGGGATGAGCGATGCCCCAACCATCTTTATTCTTTAATACTTCTAGGGGGAGGCATTCTAATTCTTAATGTATTTTATAAAATCACTTGTTGCTGTGTCAGCTACTCCACTAGGAATCTTTTAAACTTTGGCAACTGATGATTCTTTTCGTAAACACGTTTTCAAGCTTTGGAAGGCTTTAAAGAGTTCGATAAAAGCAAGAAACGTAGCAGTACACAACGCCTAGGGTAAAACGGCCCGGTGCGCCCTTCTTGGGGTGTAATAGCCTCAAGCGGATTTCCCGGCTTCTGCGGGCGCAGCACATTGTTTTATTTGTTTTGAAGGCTCAGAGTTTGAGGCTGGTCGTCGACACCCACGTGCTCTGACTCTCATCAGCGTAATGATCGCCTTAGCCAGAGTCGTGTCTATATAAACCACAAAAACCTAATCATTAGAAATCCCAGCCTCCAAAAACCACATTTTAGGTAAAAAGTGCCGCTTTTTTTTTTTTTTTTTCCGCGCTCCTTCATCCTCTCGACCACAACTTTTTGGGGGATCCAAAGTCGCTTTTTAAACCCACACTAGGAAATAAATACATAAATAAACAGCCACGGAAACATTTGAATTTTTTAGTTTGTATTTTTAATTTTTTCCCGGGAGCAGTGGGGAAGACAGACAGGAAACTTAGTCTTAGATGTAAAACAGACTTAATAAAAGATTTAAATTCATAGAAAACGGCTGATGCTTTCCCCCAGCGAGGATTTTTCAACTTATTTTAATCACCAAGCTGACAGTTTTTCAGTCCTTAAAAAACCAACCAAACAAAAAACCCCAACTCGTTCTTGTTCTTTAGGAATAACAAGATTGACTATATAAGAAAAAAGAAATGTCCCGCTATGTACTTGAGTTCCTAAAAACTATTTTGACTAGTTCTACCCCCACCGTCCTCATTTTTTGTGTCACTTAAAACAAAAAACACCCAAACCCTGAAAAATCTTTTTCCCCTGGGAGCCGCTCCGACAGAGGTGGGGGTTGGGGGTGGGAGGGTGAAGAGTGCTGAGAAGTCAGCACAGACGCTCAAGAATTTTCCTTCCTCCTCTCCTGAAGTTACAACGAAAAATAGCGACAGTCAGATCAGCCGGGAGCTCTCTGGTGTCTCGGCTTCAGTCTCTTCCGACCAAGAGGGGGTTCCTTGTCCTAGGGGTGGGGAGAGCAAGAGGACGCGACCAGGCGAGATTGCCCCTAGACTGGGGCCGCCTCTCGGCTTCCGAGGCTGCACAAGGCGCTGGGGGCTCCTTCTCGCGGCCGGCTGGCGGCGGCAGCGGCTGCGATTCGAAGGCTCGAGATCCGTTGCCCCGAGATTCGCTGCCCACGACTTACCTCTTGGCACCTTGAAGCGCGAGGGACAGGGGAGCCTTGCAAATTGCAGGAGGGAGTGGATGCAAGGAGGTGGCGGTGAGAGGGCGAGAAGAAAAGAAGGGAAAGGAAGGAGCCCAGCCGGGGAGCCGGGCTGGCAGCCGCCGCGGGAGGAATCTGAGCGTGCAGCCGGCGCGGGGGGAGCGGCGGCCGCCGCGGAGGAGGCGGCGGCGCGGGAGGGCGGAGGCGCGGCCGCCTGCAGCTGGGTAGCAGCGCGCGGCGCGGCGCGGCGCGGCGGTGGCGGGCAGCGCGCGGCACTGCTGGCCCGGGGGCCGGACTGCTGAACCCACACCGCTTCACCACCGGACTCGGACTGGGAGGGGGCGCCAGCGCACCCAGGACGCGGTGCCCCAAGGGACCCCACTCCAAGCTGCAAACTCAAGCCCCCCGCCTCCCCGGGCCAAACACACCCCCGCGCCCGTTCGCAGCTGCCACCCCGGGTGTTCCATAGGCTCCGGCAAAGATCTGCGCCTCCCGGGTCTCCCTAACCCGCCAGCCCGACTGCGCCGCATCGCCAGACTTTGTTGGCCCATCAGACTCCGCCCGGCAGTCGGCCTCATCAAACTTCATTTCTCATCTCCTCAGCCCCATCACCTCCATCCTCTTTTCCCCCGGCTCGCCTCCACCCCCCCAATTTCCTCCTTGCCCCTCATTTCCACCCTCCTCCCCCTCCCCCGGCCACTTCGCTAACTTGTGGCTGTTGTGATGCGTATTCCCGTAGATCCGAGCACCAGCCGGCGCTTCAGCCCCCCCTCCAGCAGCCTGCAGCCCGGCAAAATGAGCGACGTGAGCCCGGTGGTGGCTGCGCAACAGCAGCAGCAACAGCAGCAGCAGCAGCAACAGCAGCAGCAGCAACAGCAGCAGCAGCAGCAGGAGGCGGCGGCGGCAGCGGCGGCGGCGGCAGCGGCTGCGGCAGCAGCAGCTGCAGTGCCCCGGTTGCGGCCGCCGCACGACAACCGCACCATGGTGGAGATCATCGCCGACCACCCGGCCGAGCTCGTTCGCACCGACAGCCCCAACTTCCTGTGCTCGGTGCTGCCCTCGCACTGGCGCTGCAACAAGACCCTGCCCGTGGCCTTCAAGGTAAGAGGCTACACCGCCCCCCGCCCCCGGCCGGGAGCCGCGGAACCTGCCCGCCGGTGTCTTCCTGCCCACGGGGCCGGGCCCCGGACGTCCTCCAAGACCGCCTGCCTTGGCGACTCTGACCCCAGAAACCCCCGGCTGGGCCTCTCCCTCCGGATGCCTTGGCGGGCTCGGGCCGCAGTCCCTCCGCGCAAATCCCTCCCTCGCCCACCTGTGCCCACTGCCACCCCGACTTCAGCCCATGTCCCCCAGACCCGCTCAATTACCCCTCATGCCTCATGCCCGGCCTCCGTTCTCACCCACTCCTTGGCGCCGTCTCCCTTTCCCCCAGGATCCCCAAGGTGCCCACTCTCACTGCAAGCGGACTTGCTCCACCCCGCCCCCTTCCCGGGGGCGAGGATCCCCGACACTGTCCCCCGGGGCTCCCGCGTCCTCCTCCCCGGACATCCCTGCCTGGCCGCATTGCGGGCTGCCCACTCCGCCTCTCTCTGGGGCTCCGCGCGCTCCCACCCACTTCCCTTCCAGCCAAACGCCCCTCTGCAAGTCTCGGTGACCGCTTCCCCGACCCGCAGAGCTTAGCGGTCCTGGCCCCTCCCAGGCTCCGGGGCTGGGATTCGCGGGGTGCCGGCGCCCCGCAGTAGTGCTCGGGGCTGGGCATGGGGTGCTGCCTGAGGCGCGCCGGCTGCACTACCCGTGCCCGGGAGGGTCCGGGACAAGCCGGGGGTCTCCAGAGGAGGGGGTGTCAGGACGGGGGCGCTTGCTCTGTTCGCTGACCTACGCCAGATCCCGTTACCGGGAGGAAGGCGGGGCCGCCGAAGCGTCCGCGCGCCCCGGAGCGGGGGAGTTCAGGGGGCCTGGGGCTGAACCCTCGAGTGCTGGGAGGCTCGGGCCACGGGAGGGGGCGGGAGCTCGGGCCGCTTCTTCCAGCCGGGACCAAGCTCTGCGCCTCGCCCCGCCAGGGAGGGATGAGGGAAACCTGTGGAACAACTTCGGTTCGCCCAGCTTGAAAACGGAGGTGAAATTTTGTATTTTTGCTTTATTGTTATTATTAAAGGACTTAAATTTAAAAGGTCCCTCCTGCTTCTGAAAGGTGGTGAGAGGCCCCTGCCGGTGGCCTGAGCACGGAGTGAGCTCGGAGGCTTGAGAGAGGCCGCTGCGCGTCCCGCGGACTCTCGTGTCTGCCGGTCCCGTTAGTTTGCGGGCGGGTGGCAGCCGCGGGAGTCGCAGTCAGGTGCTCTACAGGTTGAGGATTTAGGATCTGGAGCCTCTCACAGTAGCCCAATGGGTCTCCATAACTCGATCCGGATTTCCCCGGGCAACCCTCTCCAACGGGGAGACGCCGAACCCCAAGGGCCCAGCGCACACTGGGTTGATGGGGAGTCGGGTTCCCGGGCTGTCCACATACGCAGGACTGTCCACACTCGCAAGACGTCAGGGATGCAGGGGGCGGTAAGCCAGACGTGAAGATGAGCACTCTCAAAAAGGTGTCTTGGGCCATTTCTAACCTCTGAACTTGAGTAGGTGGGCCTGGGTCCCCTGGGTTCCGAGGTCTGTGGAGAGTAGGGCACGCAAGGCCTTGGGGGAGGTAAAAAAACAAACAAAAAAAGTTGGGGGTGGGGAATCAGGCCAGTTTCTCCACTGGAGACCTTGGGGCCAGACTCCCACGGGCCACTGACAGTTCCCAGTTGTTGATCACTCCCACCCCACGCACCAATTCAGATTCCGTGTGTGGGTGGGATGGAAAGAAAGAGGAGTCCAGGTCAATTAGAGCTGGTTATCTGGCTAGGTCTGGTATCAGAACAGAAATCAGAATGAATTGTTATGGAAAGGGGATGTTGCATTCTGGGGCAAGTTTCATTTTGCAGTTGGCTCAAGAAATTTTTTTTTTTTTAACCGTCACATTTCTCTTTTTATAAACCACCCATTTTGTAGGTTAATGTTTGGTAACTTGAAAAAGGAAAAGCTCAGAAAACATGTGAATTGTAGAAATTTAAATTTCCACACAAGAGATACCTTTTACAATGTCCGTTGTCTGAGGGCCCAGAATTTTTAAATTAGCCTTATATGAGAACGGAAATTGGTTTCCACCAACGCCCCTCCAATCCTCCAAACCAAAAGCCACCTAAGACCCCAAACCTGGATGAAAGCAGCAAAAAACACAAATAAGTAGGTATCGTGTCTGCGTAATGCCACAAATCAGAATATGTGAAAATATAAGAATAGATGCTTACATTTTTAAAGATATTTAGATGCTTGATGTTCCATATACCATTCTGCTAAACATATTTAAGGTCTATCTTGAAATATTCTCTTCTATTTATGCTACTGAACTGATTTGAACATGAGCATTTTGGATGGAAAGAATGTTTTTTTGTAATTTAGCTTGAGCTAATCTCAGATATTTTGGTTGTCATTTAAGATTTTTTCATTACCACCCTTTAAAAATTATTTTGAAAATACAATTTGTTCTTTGTTGTTAATCAACTTATGAATTACAGAATACATTTTTTGTTATCTTAAGCAGTAGACAGACTGTAGATAACAAGACTAGATTTAATCAAGTATTTTAATTTATATCAATTGAATAGTGAATTGAGTTAACCTAAAACCTGACTGTCAATGTCTTTCTATCGCCACATCTGTGTTAAACAGAATTCAAAACGTGGGTGATAGCTAAGATCTACTCAGTATAGAAGTTTTGTCTCTCTGTTGAAAAGAAATGTATGAATGTTTGGAACATTCAGATTGTGATAGCCTCTCTTTATCCTGCTTTTGGAATAAAAGCCTGAGAGCACTAGACCTTCTCCACTCTTGCAATATAATCAAATACATCTGCAATGAAGAAATAATATGAAGAAGTCTCCGTTTTAAAAGTGATGACAGCAATTTGGCAGTGATATTTAGAGCTATGTAAAAAATAAATTATAGTGGTTGTCAGGTAGGTAGCAGATAGGTAAATGCATTTAAACACACACAAAACTTATTTGTTGTAAAGTCTGGTATTCAAATTAATACAATATTTATTGAGACCGTATTTTGTATCTGTGGCACTGAGCTTGACACCACAGAGAATCAGAAATGAATTCCATAGACTGTTTTGAAATGTCAATTTAAACTAGTGTTTAAACATGATATTGGCAATGTATTGCATTAAGAATGTATTAGCGTTCATCTACTCTTGTTTTGGGATTATATAACATTTATTTATTTTTACATGTTAAAATGCAAAAACAACTAGTATACTTTATATAAAGTTGTTTATTAACATTGTATTTTTAACAAAGTTCTGCAGTTTTGAAATGTTTGGTCCCTCCAGGTGTCAAGGAAACGGAAATAAATATTTTTAACATTTTCAGGTGTATCTCACTGAAACCTTAAAATAGTTAAGACATACTGTTAGAGGATTCCAGACCCTTTCTATCCTAGATAATTCTGGTGAGAAAGAAGTAATTTGCAAATTCAGCTCATTAGCTGATGGTCAGGTAATAGTGGAGAGAACATGTCAACTCTCCATCCAGTAGCACCCTTTTAGTTAGGGGTCTGTCAGCATTTCCACTGTGAAGCCTGGTGTTCAGGGTTCATAACTTAGTTGCCTTAAATAGCTTCAAGCTGAAACACTATGCAGAAATTTTAAGTCCAGATGTACATTTTAAAACTAAAAGTAGTGCAAGCCTATTCTGATGTTTTAAGTTAGAAAACACTGGACTATATATATTTATCGGTATCATTTGTTTTCCTGGCAGTGTTAAAGAAATAAAACACATTTTTAGATATATAATCTGGCACTGATAGTTAATTATGTATCTTTAATAATACCTTTCAGTGCATGTCAAAAGGAGGGGTTTCAAAATGACAGAGCAATTTCTGTTTGACAATAATTTTTTGGCATTACTAGCCATTTTTCACTCTCTGAAAACAAACATGCAACTAATAAATACTTGATACCAGTGAGTAGTATTTTTCTTACATAGTTAATGATCAGATTTTATGTTTATATTTTTTGAATCTAATTGTATCTAAACAAAGGAAAATAGGTTATTAAGCTTATTAAATCCGTATTAACCTTAGTATAAATTATCATGCAAAATTATGTAAAACAATAGATTTCAAGTTGTATGAAGACAGGCAGATTTTTGTGTTATGCTTTTAAGTTAAAAAAACTTATTTAAAGTTAAATATTTTGGGACTGAATATATAAACTTCCTAGTATGGCAGTTGGAACAAATAATTTCAGGTGGAAAATAAATACTTAAAATTTTTTTAGAAAACTTGTATTAAATATTGGAAAATAGGTATGGTGCATATCTTTAATTATTTTTTCCCCTTTGGCATTATGGGTTGTCTCCTTTTAAAATTCCAGAATCTCTATTGTTAGACGATTGAAACCACCTTGATACATGGCCCACAAGTTGCTGCTTTAAATTGAAATAATTTTTATCAAAATTTCTCTTTGACATGTATATTTTTTAAATTATGAAATGATATATTGTGTTTTTCTTCTCTATAATTCAGTGGGTTTTTTTTTCTAAATTCTAGGATAAATTCGAAACATTAACTGTAGTATTAGTTGAAATGTTTTGATACTGTACTTAAAGCTATCCTTAAATAGTTATGATGGGAATAACATTTTTGGTTTTTGCAATTAGATTCACTTCTCTTTTTATTGCAAAGGAATATCTGATCAGATTTTATCTTGAAAAATCATTATATTTCAATTATACCACAAGTACAATGTCCCAAATTACGCTGACCTATAAGAATAATTGATTAGTTAAGACTAGACTTCTGTCCATGGAAATGTCATGGGCAATTTTAATTTCCACATAAAAAGACGAGAGAAACTGTTTTAAGGGTTTGAGTTAATTCTCCATTCCTCTTCTTTGAGTGATTCACAGATTTAGTCATAAGGAGCCTCATACAAAATTTCAATAGCATTACTGCAGTTAAATATCCTTTGCTTTATTTCGTGCAAACCACATACCATGTGATGTAAATGCTGGTTATAGTGAGGTGCGCTAAATAAAGGAACGTCTTTCTCTATTCTGAAATGTCAGTACAGAAAACTTCTCCTTTTCTCATGAAGTTTCTTGAATTTGTAGATTTTATATTTTAAAAACACCTAGAAATGTAATTGTTAAGATTTCATCACAAATTATTCTTTGCAGAGGAGTACTTTTGTATTGGGTAAAATGGAAGTAAATTTTAACTTGTGCTTATTCTTAACTAGAGTTTTGACTGCGACTTACCCCTTAAAATGTTTTTCCATTGCTTGGTTTTGGTACAGATGAAATGTGTAAAAATTTTTTGATTCTTTTGGTTTTCTTTTAGATAAACACAGTTGAGAATCTCTAAGGGAAACTTTTTAGTTTCAGAGATCTACTTAAAGAAAAAACTTCTCAAACATATAATTATACTTCTCATTGATATAAAGTCAAATACAGTACTTCCCCCAACTCCCAACCTTTTTCTCCCCTCAGAAAAGCATTGGGCACTGTGATTTGGTAGAGTGAATAGCAGAAAAAACCCAGTATATTTAGCCATTAAACTAGAGTTCAGCCTTAGCAGGGAAGATTGTCACTACATGGCATTAGCATTTTTTTCAGGCCTTGCTCTAAGCCTCACAGAAGAATGACACAACTTGTGATTATTTATTTGTTTTGTAAAATGTGATATGTATAACAAACCCATATTGAATATGGTCAGTATTAACTGCTTAAGCACAGTAAAATGGATTTATGTATTTCACTCTTAGGGATCTTTTCTTTCATATTTTCCCATATTGAATCAATTTGTCATTTCTTCTAACTAAAAAAAAATCCATTATGTTAAAAATATGCAGTAAAATAATAATGCCCTAGAGCTCTTGAAAACCTTTATATTGGGGAGTATTGCTTTATTTTTTTTTCTGAAATGTAGCCAGACTCGAGTTAAATCCGCCAGCAGTCATCCTGTATCTCTCAACAACACCAAAGAACATTTCAGGACATGAAGTGAAGAAGTACATATTCAGTTGAATCCTTTAAGGATGCTTATAAGTAAAAGCCTATGTTTAGCAGACAGCAGATTTGGAAGAGAACACTGTGTTACCCTCCTCATCTTACAAAAAGCACATCATTATAATTACACTCTATACTTACATGGTATCTTCTACATTTTGCAGACTGTCCAATTCATATTGGAAAACTGTGGTTCCTGGGGATGAAGTTATTTGTGTGAAGTCATGGCAGATATGTAGCAGAAGTGGAGAGAAAGTGGAGCCTCTTGATTTTAGTGTATTCCTTCTCTTCTAAACAGTACAACTTTTCTCCTGCCTTTATTAATATGCTTACTGGGTCCATATTTACTTTGACATAGAAAGCCACACAGCAGGTGTTAAAACACAATATGCTGAGTGTACAAAGTGTCAAACATTGAGATGAATCCTGGCAAATGTAGTCAGTTATTGCAGTATTTTCAAATGTCCACATTTTTGGCATGGTGAATTTGAAAAATTGAAAAGCATATTGCCTCCATTAGGAGTATAGTGTTACCTGTATTCATTCAGTAGCCACTTGAGGTACGAGATGAACTATGCAGGGAGGATGTCTTGTTCTCAAGGGGTATTACTTTTGACTCAGGAGACTCCAGGGAAAGGGGTGGCAGCATGGTTCCCGCTTCTCTGGGATGAAAACTGTCAGAAAATGAGTTTGGAGCAAGGGCACATTGCTGTTAGCAAGGGGTGCCAACTCAACATCAACTGGCTCTCTTAGAGTTTTAGCTGGCAGCCCCACAGACATCTGTCTCTGCAAAGTGGGGCTCTTTATGGAGATCTTTCACTATTTCAGAAATATTTATCTGGCTGGGTGCAGTGGCTCACACCTGTAATCCCAGCACTTTGGGAGGCTGAGGTGGGCAGACCACCTGAGGTCAGGAGTTCAAGATCAGCCTGGCCAACATGGTGAAACGCCGTCTCTACTAAAAATACAAAAACTAGCTGGATGTGGAGGTGCATGTCTGTAATCCCAGGTACTCAGGAGGCTGGGACAGGAGAATCACTTGAACCTGGGAAGTGGAGGTTGCAGTAAGCTGAGATTGCACCCCTGCATTCCAGCCTAGGTGACAGAGCGAGACTGTCTTAAAAAAACATATATATATATATATATATATATATATAAAGCACTTACCACGTGCTGGACACTGTTTTGGGAGCAGGGCAATAAGTGATAAATAAGACAGATGAGATGAAGGCCCTTCTCTTGTGTAGTTTCCAAACTAATATAATCTGGACTCCTGGAGTGAGTCCCTCAGCTTTGGACTGGTATATTTAAAGTAGCCATAGACCATTAATATTAATATATGTACATTGAAATGAAGATCGCTTGAGTACAGTGTGATGCTGTAGAAAGTGGGGCCTGTAATTTAAGGAAAGCTTTATTGATTTTTGAATTGAATAACGCAGTGCTAAATGGAAGGAATGGAATTGAGAAACAGCCTAAGAGAAAAGAGTGACAAAAATATTGACAAGTTTTTTGTCTGTTTGATTGTTTTACTGGCTGGAGGAAAGGACATAGTGGAGGAGTATTGCAGTAGGGTTCACGGATGGGGGAAGTTCGGCCCTAAAATATAGGTACAGTGTCTATTATCATACTATATGAAATCTACTTTAATATGCCAATTGTATTGGGAAAATGGCATTAAACGTTTGTGCTTGTCTTATGGAAATCTTGACAAAAGAGGGAATAGCACTAGAAGTAGGAAAAGATAAGTGGGATGTTTACCAGTCAGGTGAGCACACAGGGGTGTTACTGTCAGACAGTTGTGGGCTACTTTAGCTGGGGTCATTGTTGAGTTACTATGAGGGCATCTGGAAACTGAATGAGGAAGACATGGAAATAATCTGAATATAGAGTCCTGGAAGTTAGTGGAGAGAAAGGATTGTTACCAAGGGCAGGATCTTGACAGTGGATTAGGAGGAATATGTTTTATATATGACAGTGAAGGATCCGCACCAGTAGCCCTTCACCAGCTCTGTGTTAATCAGAGGCATACATTTGCAAGTTTGCGGACCCAGGTTAAAGTGTGATCTCTAGTCTTGGAGCAGAGAAAATGTTTGTTAGTTCCAAAGATGGATTAATCTAGATCTTTTCTTGATTGAGTTAATTTGCTTCAGATTACCTGTTGAAGATGAAGCAGTCAAGTATGTCATTCCAGGAGGGCAGATGGGACAAGACGTCATAGATGTCAGGCTAAGGGTATAGATTTTTTTCTTAATATTTCTCATCAATTATTTTTACCTTCAGTTTCTTGATGACTTCCGATATCCCACTGGGTCCCACTACAGAGTGGATATTCAGTAAATACGTATAGTGTCATTAAAAGCTGAAGTGCTAGCCCAAAGTAAGGAGGTAGAGAACACACCATATCTGGCTCTATGTAGTCAGGAACTCCAGGGTTTCACTTAAAAATCTTCTCCCATGGAGTTGACCAGACTTGCTTGTTTTTAGCCTGTGATGGGATAAGACCACACCTCAGGGCTCTCCCTGAGAGGAAGGCTACAGTCAGGTGATGCCTTGATCTGTATGATACAATCTGCAGATGGGGCATCCGCCTTCCTTCTGTGGCATAATTCCTATGGACAACTTAACATGGGGATTTAATAAAAATGTACACATTTTTTGTGAAGAATCCAACAACAAGTGAAGGAAGTTTTTGCCTGGTCTTTGAAATCAGTGGACCCTGAAACACTGGTCTGTTTGAAGTGGCATCACAACTCATACACAGATGCCTCATTCCTGTCGGCCATTACTGGACTGGAATAGAACACTGAGTCCTGATAAGACACATCATTTACATTGAGAATGTATTCTGTTTGTAAGCCTTTCTGATGTGCCATTATTGCTGCTGTGTTTCCTGTTTTATGTAGGTGGTAGCCCTCGGAGAGGTACCAGATGGGACTGTGGTTACTGTCATGGCGGGTAACGATGAAAATTATTCTGCCGAGCTCCGGAATGCCTCTGCTGTTATGAAAAACCAAGTAGCAAGGTTCAACGATCTGAGATTTGTGGGCCGGAGTGGACGAGGTAGGTCTCTGACTTTTGATACTGATAATGGAATAAGCACATTAGGTCCCTTTGATGAAATGTAGACTAGTCTGTATACAAATCAGCACCTTCTTTTTCTGAATAGAATTACTAAAGATTTGATTTAAATACATCCAGATGAAGCTGAGTGTTTTTCTGAGTACTCAGGCCTTTTTCATTTATTTTATGATATTGAAAATTCAAACAATATTTTCAGAAAAACTAGTTCCTAATTTCACTGGGTGTGAGCATATAAGGTAGAGAAAAAACGGTTGGAGGATGAACTTCTGAATTATGAGGAGTCAAATAACTGAGTAAATTGAGTGGCAAAGGGGAAAGAAAAATGGATATGTTGGATTAATTTCCTGATAATATCAATTTTCATTTAAGTTGTCGCAAGGACAGCTAGCATAATGCTCTTTACTTATCACAGGTTACCTCTATATGATTTAATTTATCCTCATAATAAGAATTTATTAAAAATCATCTTTTTTTAAATGTAAGGCTTTTCATTTGAATAAGTGAATAATATATTACTTTTGTTAGAATGGCTATGTAAAGTTGCTTAGACAGATGAATGATTAGTGCTCTAATATTAATAGTTCCATACTATGTAAGGATTTCTACCATCTGAATCCATATTAAAAAAATTAGAGATCTTTAAAAGGATCATACACAGAAAATTATCCCTATTAGAGTTTTTGTAACTGTTTGATAAATTAGGTTAATTTTTTAAAAAAGTCTCTAAGGAGGCCAATATTTTGGCTTTTATTTACTTATTCTACAGAGAGACTTTTACTAGTTACTCACCTATTAGAAGCATTATGCTTATTTATTTACTTACCGAATCTATTATTTCCATTTTAAGTATTTTGATAAGAAGAGAGAAAATCCACCACTTTAGGACTGAGGTGAAATAAAGTCTTATGGCATCACTGCAACCCAGGTTTGAATAGGAAATGAGAAACACCACTTTTTAAACCATGTCTAATAATTGCTCTTCAGTTTGGATCAGATGTCAAATTATTACCATTGTAAAAACTTGATAAGGGAAATTCAAGCAAGGCTGTTTCCGATGAGTAGTTTTAGTTTACTTTCTAGGAACAGGGCCAAGAAGTTGTACTTTTTAACTAAAAAAAAAAAGATTCATGCTAATGAGATACTGTCACTGACAGGTTGTTTGAAATAAAATGAGGCTCACAGCCTCTGGTAGAATCAAAACTAAGGGGGTGATCTCTGCATCAGGTTTAGTTCACTTTCATTAAAAGAGGAAAAAAGACACATCCTATACCACTATTGACTGATTAGGTTGGAGTATGTGTTTATGTGTTCATTATTCCTTTTTCTCATTTACTTATGCAGGTCCACTATGCAATTAAAGTTTCTCTTTTATTCTGTAAGAATCAAGAAAAATGTGAACATGATGATGTACCTGTATGCTCTGAATTGCATCTTTCTTCTTATGTAATAATACTTTCTTTTTAACTAGAGTAATGTATTTTAGTTTTTAAAGGATTGGATGCCATGCTTGATTTTACATTACAGATTCAAGCTAGTGTTCTCGTTTATCTTGCTTTTGTATTATATAGATGCTGCACAACTTTTTTCTGATCAATTTGAATAGAAGCTATGGCAAAGTGATAGTGTACTTTGTAAACCCTCAACATATTTATTTAAGAAACTTCAAAGAGAAACAAAGGGTGTGCACTGTTTTACTATATTGGCTTTCTGAGTTTTGGCTGGTTTCCCAAATAGCAATTTTTATATTTAAAAAAAAAAAAAAAAGACAGACTTAACTGCTTGCAGACTTTTCACGCATGGAAGATGAAGAAAGCTTCTTTTGATGAAGTGTAATTATGTCCAAACAGAGCTGACCCCCTCCCCCTATATTTCTTATGATCTTAACTGAAGAAAGTAGGATTTTTCCTTTGAAGCAGCCGGGACTTGGTGGAGGTTCTGAAATGCTGCAGTCTGCTGCCAGAGGCAGGATGGAGAAATTGGTCCAGACTTGTCTTCGAAACTTAGATGGGGGGTAGGGGGAGTGGGTGGAGAGAGAAAGAAAAATTGATTTATCACTAATAATAGATTTTTATATCACTGTATTAACATTGTATGAGAGGAAACAGTAATATCAAGCTGAGATGAAGAGGAAAAAAAGGACAGAAAACACTGATAACAGATCAAACTCTGAAAAAAAAAATGGGTCAGTTTTTCAGTGGCAGGAAACCCTTTAACCTGCCTTTGTACCCTTTGTACCTGACCTGCTTTATAACAGACTCTTTCCAGCTTCCTCTTTGATTTTGACACTTCTACATTTCTCTTATTAAGTCTGGATCAACATGCTGCTGCCATTGTATTTTCTTTCCCGGCCTTAAATATTTCTGTTTTCAGTAGTGTTATCAAAAAACACCAAGTTCCTCAAATATTACATTTTTCATTTTTTTTTCTTTCCACCGATAGAAACATAAACTCTCAGAAATTGAAAAACAATCTTAGATTATAAAGGAGTCATGTCACTGCTGACTTTGGCTTTATGGGTCAGCTTAGGACCACAACTTTTGAAAGTGCTGGAATAAAAGTAGAGCATCAATGGAACTTGCATTAAGTTAGAAGTGGCTTTTTTATTGTCTTTTCCTTTTTTTTCTCCTTAATATTTTAAAGAGAAGTGTTTAAAATCATTTTGGTCCTTAAATTTTTTTTTGGTATACTTTCTTTTTTCATCATCCATGATGTAGCCATGGATGACACAATTAGTTATTTACTGACTGCTAGCTCCCTCAATAACAGCCTGCATTTTAAAATAAAAGCCTGCTTTTTTTTTTAATCACTTATGGAAAGTGAAAAAAGTGGATTTTTGAAAAAAAATTAATTTAAGGAAATCGTGAATGCTCACATAAACATTTGACTTAGGAAGTGCATTATTATTATGAGTTAAAGAACCAATTACTTAATTGGTTGGTAATTTCTGAAAGTTTCTTCCACATTGCATACATATTTCTTCTGAAGGGGCAATAAGAAGTAAAAGGAGCCTCATTCGCTTCTGCTGTAGTTGTTAAGTACATCTTGATCCTCAGGGTTTGATTTTTGGGAGATCATAGTTACACTTAAATACTTGTTTCCTCCCCTAAACCCATCTCTTTTTTTAAAAAAAGTTTCTATAGAGAACTGATTCCAGTCTGAGCATTTGAATGCTTTAGGCTTGAAGGGTGAATTTTATATTTGGCTTTTGTTCCTACATGTGGTGTCTCCCTGAGTTTAGGGGAAACATACATGACTTTTAATATCTTAAGTAAGTTGTAAAGGTCTAAAGTAGAACTATTCCCAAAACTTCTCTCTCTCTCTCTTTTTTTTTTTTTGTTTTGTTTTTTGAGGAAGAGTCTCACTCTGTGCCCAGGCTCGAGTGCAGTGGCACAATCTTGGCTAACTGTAACCTTCACCTCCTAGGTTCAAGTGATTTTCATGCCTCAGCCTCCCGAGTAGCCGGGACCATAGGCATAGCTGAGACCATCACCACACCCAGCTAAGTTTTGTATTTTTAGTAGAGACAGGGTTTCACCATGTTGGCTAGGTTGGTGTCGAACTCCTGACCTCAGGTGATCCACCCACCTCCACCTCCCATAGTCCTGGGATTACAGACAGGAGCCACCGAGCCCAGCCGACGATCTTTCTAGCAGGTTATTTAGAGACATTAAGGATACTTGAGATCTCTATATATCCTTGATTTATTAAGATGAGTGCCATAGATGAAAACTGACTCTGAAACACAGCCATGGGAGCCATTTTTAGAAAGGCAATCCTGGGTCCATAGACCACTAATCTGACCCAAAACGGCACTTTAAAATGTTTTAGTGTAAATTAACTTTCAATCTAGAGATTCAGCCGTTTCATTTTCTGCAATCTTTCCATTGTTTTCAGGTTCTAACTTGGACCCCGTGGTTTCCTATTCAAGTTTCTGGTCTCTTTTTCTGTAGACTTTTTAGTTTTCTGTAACTAGTTTAGATTCCTGCCTGGTTTATTCTTCCGGTTAGTCTTAATGTTTATAATAAAGCCTCTCTTTGTTAACCAATTATAAATTATTTAAATTTATGTAATGTCCAATATAGTCAATAAAATATGATATTTCAATGACTCTTTAGATGCTTTCATCATCCTGAGATATTGCATTAGTCCATTTATACTTACTGTTTCTTGGGCACATAGACCTGATTGGGACACATCTAGAAATAAATTACTTATTAATTTTTTCAAGTGGCAAGTGATCAAGCCACTTAAGGAAGTGGCCAAGTGACAGACTATTTAAAAAAAAAAAGAGCATTAATTTTAGGGTCTGAAAAATGAGGCTCAGATCCTCATTTTTCCCATTTATTAGTTGTGTGAACTTGGGTAAATTACTAAGTCTCTTGGGGTTCAGCCTTCTTATTTGTGAAATGGGGGTGAGAAATCTAAGTGGGGAGGATTAAATGAGATAATATATATGGGCACTTAATACGATTCTAATTGTTATTCACCTTTCCCTGTTCAAACTGCGCCCACCCCATTCCTGGTTTTTCTTTCCCTTTTTATTCCCCTTGGCCATGAAAAAGTATAGCCAAGGAGACCTAAAACTATTTATACTCAGTAACAAATGATGTGTGTCTTAAACAGATTTTAGGAACTTACATGTTCTAGGTTGAAAAGAAAACCCATTCACTAGACTTGACAGCCAAAGACTGTTCTACATTAAGCCTTATATATAACCTGTTCCATATTAAGCTTTGAAAAGACTGCATTAAACTTTGCCTTGGTACATATTGTCAAAGATCTGTGTTCTGGTTTAATACTCTCAGTGTTCAGTAAAGGGCAAAAGAATCTCTGACCAAAAAAACAAAGCAAAACAAAATGAGCTTTTTAAAGGTCTGTTACAGGAGCAGACTAAATGAGTACTCTGGCCTGAGATTGCTGAATGTTTTATTGAGTCACTGTTTTACGCCCACCTCTTCCTGTCTTGTAACAGTTTGCAGTTTTGACTATCTGACATGATTAACCGTTGCAAATCTAACTGATTACAACTGTTAGTGAGTCTGTGCAACAGAGAGTGGTCTCTTCTTCTGGAGAAAGAAGACGTCCAAATCTGCTACCCAACTTTTCCCTGTCTTTTTTTCCCTTCTTACTCATCGCTTTTAGCTCATTAATTTGAAGCATCCGATGTAATATTTCAACGAAGCACACCTTCTGCTAAAAGCAAAATTTGTGTTTATGTTGAGAGATGTCATGTTCGTTTAGCAAAATGTAAGTCACTGTCAGGGAGTTATTTCAAGATTTAACAGCAGGGATGTATGTTAGAGGAGGGGTAGGCAGGGAGGAGAAAATCTTTGTTCCAGTAATAATGAAATCATCATACCACAGGCACATTAAGGCCAGGACAGGAGACACTGGCTCCTGTGAAAATGATTCCCATAAGAACTTGCCTCTTTTATCTTCTTATTGTAGTGCAGCTAAGCAAATGAAACGCTAAAGCCATTTGAAGTAAATAACATAATCAACAATGATTTACTATTGTTCTCTCATGAGGTCATGACCTAGCCCTAAATAAAGACTTCTAAAATTGTCTGTGCTTGGATGTGTTCCTGATGTCGGAGAAAACTGAAAGAAAAAGAACCTTCCTCAAGTGGACCAAGGTTTTTGTTTTCATTACAACTGTTGCTACTGAGGAGCTTTTTTGGAATTCAAGTCTTCCTGTGTAGTACTGCAATGAGGGCAATGATCTTGACACTAAGCAAGTTTGGAAATGTCCTCAAGTGGCCATTGGTGGGTTTCCAGTTTAGAAGAAGGAGTCCTGACTCTTGTCTTAGTGTCATTGCCTCCCTAGAGATGCTTATGCACTTTGGAAATCTATGCTGCTGTGTAATCATCAGTACTGTCTTTTAATATTCACTATATGTTTTCCCCTTTTCTGTCTGCAGGCAAGAGTTTCACCTTGACCATAACTGTCTTCACCAATCCTCCCCAAGTAGCTACCTATCACAGAGCAATTAAAGTCACAGTGGATGGACCCCGGGAACCCAGAAGTAAGTACTCCCCTCTTTACTGGAAATGGTGATAGTGTTTCCAGAGACCCTGTGAGGCATTTATTCCAAATGAGTTAGTGTTACTTTCATATCCATAGTGTCTTTGCAGAGTTTGCTATCTGCATATATATATATATATATATATATATATATATATATATATATATTTTTAGCCAGGGACAGTTAGTCAAACTTCAGAGTTAGTAGAAAATAAAATTACAGTTTTAACCTTTGCCGCACAATTGCTAAGGCCTCCGTAGCTTTGGGAAATGAGTGAATAATTATTCAGTTGGTGTTAACTATTTGCTAAGAAATTCTGCTCATCTAGTGGACATAATAGGGCAGAATAGACCCAAGAGAGCTGAGGAAGAAAACAGTAAACTTAAAAATCTTGAGCTTAGTCAAAAAGCATTTGCATGTGTTTCCCATGGCCTAAGAATGTGTTTTAGCTTTTTAACTCGCCCACTCAATTCCCTTTATGAAGAGCACACTGCTTAATTACAAAGAATTTATTTGCAAATGATAACTTGCTTGATTGTTACAACTGTTGTTTGGTCATGCTCTAGTAATTGTTATAGGTAGTTTTCTTTTAACAGATAGAGTCAAATCACCTTTAAATCCATCTTGGTTTATTTGTCTGTCTGGACATCCAGAAGGTTTCACCGGCAATCAGTTTCAGGTAGAGCACATAATCTCTTTGGGCCAATATGTATGTTCCTTCTAAATCTAAATTGAACGAGGTTGACTTCCCCCACCCCCACCAAAAAACTAATTTGAACAAACTCAGCATAGCGGTATTTAAGTATATTTAGAGATTAAAGATTATTTAATATATAAACCATGAACAATTCTGTGCCAATGGAAACATCATATAGAACTCTGCCTTTGCTGAGTGAATACATTGGAATCCTAAACACTGCATTTAGGGAGTTTAATTTGGTGTGTGGTGGAGGTATAGCTGGCAGGAGTACTTGTTCTATAACGACTAACCTGCCCAGACCATGAGAGTGGCAAGTCTTTTCTTCCCCTAAAATGAGAGAAAGGGTCTCATAAAGTTTTGCTTCTGCCCAAGTACCATACCTTCCTAGCAGTGGGAACATATGGTGGCTCCTGTCCTTTTTGCTGCTCTTTTCACAAAGGCTGACTGCTTGCCTGAACTAGGGAGGTTTCCTGCCTCAAAAGCAAGTCTTTGAGGTTTTTGTTTTCTTCTCCTTTCATGTGTATGGCATTCTTCCAGGTTCATAATGTTGAGTCAGTGCTGGCCCTGTCTGTTCGGTTTGGGAATGTCCTGTTAGGTGATTGCTGTACATACGTGTGTAAGCCCCAAGTTTCTACTCCTAAGGGCTAGTGGTTATGCAGTGCAGGTGAATAGAACAGAGCAGAGTGGCTTTGCCTGGTCTGGGACTTTGCCTGCCTTTTCTGGATGGCTGTGAGTTGTGGATGTTGCCTTACGATGGAAGATATCCTCTAACTTTTGGTCAGACTAGCCCCTGAATTCCTGAAAAGGCAGGACGTCCATTTTAGTAATGCACAAAGCAGGATACTTGGTTTTTGACATGTAGCACCACTAATGCTTATCTTTTAAAGATGTTTCCTGCTGATCTCAGCTGTTTTTCTCAGTTCTTGGAAAAACTGTGTGTGTGTGTGTGTGTGTGTGTGTGTGTGTGTGTGAGAGAGAGAGTGTGTGTGTGTTTGTGTGTATACATATACACAAGAGTTGATGCTCAAAAGTTGATGGTTGGAAGAGGAAACAGGGAAGTATAGGTGCTGCCCTGTTCTGAACAATATGACAATAAGTGAGAAGGCAGGGGTAGCTTTGGGAAAGTCACTTCTGTTTCAAGTGTGGATAGCAGTACCTCATTGCAGAGAGGTTTTGGGCCAAATTAATTAGTCAATAGACTCACTGCCTTGTAAAGGCAGAGAAGTGCTCTGAAAGCAATGAGATTTAGAAGTAGAGGGGCCAGGTGGTATATGTGGGAGCTGAGTTCAGGCTTTGGGTGGTGCCTAGGGTGGGCGGTGGAAGTAGATACAGATCTGGAAGTGGTAGACCACCTGCTCTAGATAAGCCTGAGTAACATTTCTTATGAACTGAAAATACCTGTGAAAATGTTGGGTCATTTCCCCCACATCATGAGGCGACTTCACAAAGTCAGTGTCTGGAGAGGAGAGGTCTGCTTGCAGCGACAGCTGAGTCCTACAACCTGGACTCCGCTGGATTATTTTTTTCCTCCCTGCTCTTGGCCGTCCTGGGCACTGAATATTTGTAGCATAGCACTCTTCTCAATATTGTTCTTTAATTTTGACACTCCCAGGTGTTGGAAATGCACAAGATTTCCAGTTTTCTTAAACAGTGAGTACAATAAGAGTTTGATTCATTGCATCTAATGTTAAATGGGAGATCCTCTAGAATGCAAATCGGCATTTTCTGTAGTTTGCCAGACAGCAAATCCTTTAGAGTCTGGGGACCGTGTGGCGGTCTCTGTTACCAGCTCTCAACTCTGCCATTGTAGCTCAAAAGCAGCAAGGAAATACATACATTCATAGTCATGGCTACACAGGTTGAGTATCCCTTATCCAAAATGCTTGGGACCAGAAATGCTTTGGATTTCAATTAAAAAAAAAATTGGAATATTTGCGTATATAATGAGATATCTTGGGGATGAGAACCAATCTAAACATTCATGTGTGTTTCATCTACACCTTGTGCACATAGCTTGAAGATAATTTTATACAATATTTAAGTAATTTTGTGCAGGAAGCAAAGTGTGTGTTATGGACTTATGTGTGGAATCTTCCACTTGTGACATCATGTTGGTACTCAGAAACTTTCATTTTGGAGCATTTCAGAGTTTCAGATTAGGGATACTCAACCTGTATTCCACTAACATTTTACTTATAAACACAAGCGGTAAGCCAAATTGAAGTTTATCAAGCCTTGCTTATTCAAAGTGGCTTCTTTTATTGATCCTTAACAGAGAAGCGCTTTAGTAAAAGCCCTTTCCAGTGGGGATGGGGGTAGGGGAACAATTTATACAATTGTTTAGCTTCCTCTACCCCCAAATTATAATTCCTTAATTAGCGGTTATTAGTCATAAAAGTAGTATACTTCTGTTTATTACTTACAGTGGTTTGAAGGAGTTGAGGATTTTGTACTATTCGTTCTTGTCGGTGGAATTTTTCTCCTTCCTCTAAATATTTGAATATATATTGAAAAGGCTGCTTCTGGTAGCTCAGCTGTTTGAGCAAGGACAAGTTCTGGGTTAACTGGTTGGGTCGTTATGTCAGACCGCTTGGATCGAAATCCCAACTCCACTACTTATTAGCTGTATGGAGGTAGGCAAGTTACCTCACTTCTCTTTGCCTTGGGTTTCTCATGTTTTTAAGTGAGAATGATAATAATAGATAATAATACCTTCCTCATCAGTTGCTGCAAGAACGTTAAATGTTTTATTGTATGTAAAATGGGTAGCACAGTGACTGTCACGTAGTAAGTGTTCATTAAGTGTCAGCTATTATTACATCAATTTCTTCAGTGTCAGAGGTTTGCCGTAGAGTTTTGCTTATGGTAGTCTTCTAGAAAACAGATACCAGCGATGCATTCTCTCCTCTAGTATATTACTTTATTCCCCCTGCAGATGGCTTTACTAAGCTCATTAGTAAATGACACTAATAAGTCTTGTAAATTGTGCCTGAGCAGATATTCATGCTGCCCAGGGAAAGCTGTGCAGAATTAGTGATAAATTTAATTTGTTTGCAACAAAGTCCGAGAGCGGATGCCGTGGCACTAGTACCCCACTCGAGGCCTTGCCTATCAACACATCTGCCAAGACTTGCTTTTCACTCAAAAATCCGAAAGATTTCATCCTCCTGTGTTTTCTGTCTCTGGCAGCTGAACCAGTGCTGTCACATCACAAACAACTTCTTTTCTTAATATACACATCTGGCGTTGGCAGTTGGACTAACTTCATAAGAGCACATGATCATCACTCATTACAAGATTAAAAAGTACCCTATGGCATCATTGATGTTTTTTAACTTTGATCTTTTGCAGTTGTGATTCATCTCGGTTATAAAACTTCCCTTTAAAGGAACATAGCCGATGACTTATTAAAAGCTTCATCTTAAGTAGTGTAAACATGAAAACGGTACACATCTTTACAAAATGCCATTTATTTTCTTTGCCAGCTTATCATTTTAAGACATGACATCATACTTAAGATCCCAAATTTGTAAGTCTTGTGTTTAGGCAAGGCATTTTGACCTTCTGTTGGCAAGCTAGCGCCAAAGCACAACTTTCAGCCGGAGAAGTGGTGTAGCAGGAGCAGCAATAGTAGTGCGTTTAGATTATCTAACTCTTTTAAACATCAGTTTCTATTAGGATCCCTTGTTCCCATCTGTGCACTTGGTTCCAACTCCAGTCTGATTTACATAATTTCTACAGGAATGTGAAACTTGGTTAGCAACATCATATTCTACAGAAGTGGTTCAGAGTTAGGGAAGGGGACTGATGGAAAAAAGTATTATTTGTTGTGCAGAGGATGGAAAAAACAAAATCACCTTACACAGAATACTTCAGATTCTCTTGCTGTATTTTCAGTTGTCTATTGCTAAATAACAAACTATTTTCAAATACAGTGGCTTAAATAATATCCTGTTTATTATTTCCCATGATTTTGTGTGTTGATTGGGGTTCATTTGGATGCTTTTTCTATTGGTCAGGCTTGGGGTCTATCAGGTAGCTGCAGTCAGATAGTGGCTGGTGCTGAAACATCCTGGATGCTTCATTTGTGTGTCTGATGCTTTGGTGAGATGGCTGGATGGTTGGGCTCGGCTGGAATTATGGGACAACAGGCCCCACAGCGTTTCTTTCCATGTTATCCTGGATCCTCTCCCTCTCCACATGGCCTCTCCATGGGGTCTTTCCAGCTGAGTCTAACTTCTTACATGGCAGCAGCTCAGGGCTCCTTAAGGTGCAAAAGTGAGAGCTCTCAGGCCTTGCT